TCAGCATGGGTACAGATGCCAGCATGAATTAGTTACCAAATATTTGTTAAATCTTGGAAATTACCATTCCATACATTGGCAACAAGGAACACTTACATTAACATGATCGCCTGTAGCAGGAAAGATCATGGAAATCAACATGGTGTCTAGTGGTTTACAAGATCATGAGCATCAGCATTTTACCAGAAGTAGTAGGAATAGCAGTATGTATCTAATCATGGACATCCATATTGGTAACAGAAGCAGCAGGGATCATTTAAATCCACAAGGTATCATGTGGCAGCACGTAGAATGGATAGCCACATAGTTATCTATGATAGTTGAGATCAGGGAAATTCACATTCCTCATGTTGAAAACACAGAACAACATGGTCTCAGGTAGCAGGACAGATGGATATCAACATCAGATCCATGAACAAGAAAGAACACTGGCATCAAAGTGGCTTCCAGAAATAGTAGGAATAGCATAGAACGTCTGCTCATGAAAATCGACATGTTTAACAGATGCAGCATGGATGAATTAAATCAATTTGTTTGTAGGTGACAGCAAGTATTCCGGATATAAACTTAGTTTCAGTTGGAATTTTAGTTCTTGGAAATTTTCATTCTTCATGTTAGCAACACAGAAAACTTTCACCAATATGGTCATAAGGGGCCAGAGAGGTCATGGCAATCAAGATGTTATCCCATGGTAACAAGGACCACATGCACCAACATGGCTTACAGATCCAATAGGCATGCATTGGAGGTGCATTCACAGACATCAACAGGGTTAACCGTGGTAAAAGCTATCATGGCCATCATCATGGTAAGAGGTGGCATCATGAATTATATATATCTGCTGAGTTACCAATGCTTGTTATATCTTGGAAATTATTTTTCCTCACATTGCCAAAAAGGAGCACTTGCCTTAATATGGTCATAAATGCCTTGCGATTCTATGGCTATCAAGAAGTTATACCCATGGTAACAATCACTACATACATAAACATGGCTTAGAGAACCAATAGGAATGCATGGAAGCTCCATTCATTAGTATCAACAGGGTTAGTAAAGGCAGCAGTGATCAATGGCATAAGCATGGGTACAGATGCCAGCATGAATTATGTGTAATACCTTAGGTACCAAATATTTGTTAAATCTTGGAAATTACCATTCCATACATTGGCAACAAGAAACACTTACATTAATATGATCACCTGTTGCAGGAGAGATCATGGAAATCAGCATGTTGTCCAGCGATTTACAAGATCATGAGAATCAACACTGCTACCAGAAGTAGTAGGAATAGCATTATATTTCAAATCATGGACATCCATATTGGTAACAGAAGCAGCAGGGATCATTTAAATCCACAAGGTTTTAGGAGGCAACACGTAGATTGGATAGCCACATAGTTTTCTATGATAGTTAAGGTCAAGGATATTAACATTCCTCATGTTGAAAACACAGAACTCTTTCATCAACATGGTCTCAGGTGGCAGGCAGATGGACATCAGCATCAGATATATGGGCAAGGAAGAACCTCGAATCACCATGCTTTCAGAAAGAGTAGGAATAGCACAGTATGTCTGCTCATGTATAACGACACATTTAACAGATGCAGCAGGGATGAATGAATTTAATCTTTTTGCAGGTGACAGTAAGTATTCCAGATATCAACTTAATATCAGTTGGTATTTTAGTTCCTTAAAATTTACATTCTTTATGTTGGTAACACAGATCACTTTCATTAATAGGGTCATAAGGGGCCAGAGAGATCATGGCAATCAAGATGTTATCCCATGGTAACAAGGACCACATGCATCAACATGGCTTACAGAATCAATAAAAATTCATTGCTGGTCCTTTCACAAACATCAACAAGTTTATCAGAAGCAGCAGCAGTCAATGACATCACCATGGGTGCAGGTGGCAACATGAGTTACAGATATCAGCTGCATAAACTAAGGTTCACTAAATCTTAGAAATTACCATTCTATTTATTGCCAAAAATGAACACTTACCTTACCATGTCCACTTCTAGCAGGAGACATCATTGAAATAAGCCTGGTGTCCAGTGGTAAGAACATGTGAGCATCAATATTGCTTCCAGAAGGAGTAAGAAAAGCATTGTAATTCCTACCATGGACATTCACATATTTAAGATACTCAGCTGTGATTAATGACTCCAACTTGTTTGGAGATAGCAGCATGCATTCAGGATATTAACTTAGTTTCTGTTAGTATTTCAATTCTTAGAAATTACATTCTTCATATTCGCAACACAAAACATGAACATTAGTAAGGTTAAGGAAATGGAGAATTCATAACAATCAAGGTGTTGTCCCATGTTAACAAGGATCACATGCAGCAACATGGCTTACAGAACCAATAGGAATGCATGGGAGCTCCATTCATTAATATCAACAGGGTTAGCAAAGGCAGCAGTGTCCAATGACATCAGCATGGCTGGAGGTGGCAGTATGAATTATGTGTATCAATTTAGTTACCAAAAGGGGTTAAATTTTGGAAATTAGTATTCTATACATTGATAACAAGAAACACTTACTTAAGGTGGTGACTTGTAGCAGGAGATATCATAGAATCCAAAATGGTGTCCAGAGCTTACAAGATAAGAAACATTAACATTGCTTCCAGAAGTAGTAGGAATGGCATTGTGCTTCCAATAATGGACATGCAAGTGGTTAACAGAGGGAGCAGATATCAATGACATCCACAGGGGTTCAGGTAGCAGCATGTAGCATGGATAGCCACATAGTTTTCTATGGTAGTTGAGATTAGTGAAATTAAAATTCTTTATGTTGGAAGGACAGAACTCTTGCATCAACATGATATCAGGTATCATGACAGCTCTACATCAACATCAGATCCATGGGCAAGAAAGAACACTGGCAACATGGCTTTCAGAAATAGTAGGAATAGCATGGTATGTCTGCTCATGAACATCGACATGTTAAACAGATGCACCAGGGATGAATGAATTCAATTTGTTTGGAGGTGACAGCAAATATTCCAGATATCAACTTAGTTTCAGTTGGTATTTTAGTTCTTGGACAATTACCATATTTATGTTGGCAACACAGAACACTTTCAACAATATGGTCATAAGGGACCAGAGTGGTCATGGAAATCAAATATCCCATGGTAACAAGGACCACATGCACCAACATTGGTTACCAAACCAATAGGAATGCATTGGAGGTGCATTCACAGACATCAACAGGATTAATTGTGGCAAAAGCTATCATTGCCATCATCATTGTAGGAGGTGGCAGCATGAATTACATATATCTGCTGAGTTACCAATGCTTGTTATATCTTGGAATTTATCTTTCTTTCCATTGCCAAAAAGGATCACTTGCAATAATATGGTCATAAGTGGCTGGAGAATTCATGACATTCAAGATGCTATACCATGGTAACAATCACCACATAGATAAACAATGCTTACAGAAGTAATAAATATACAAGGGAGCTCCACTGATTAATATCAACAGGGTTTATAAAGGCAAGAGTGATCAAGGAATCGGCATGGGCACAGGTGGCAGCATAAATTCTGTGTATCCATTCCATACATTGTATCATTCCATACATTGGCAACAAGGAACACTTACATTAACATGATCAACTGCAGCATGAGAAATCATGGAAATCAACATGGTGTCCAGTGGTTCACAAGATCATGAGCATCAACATTGCTACCAGGAGTAGTAGGGATAACATTATGTTTCTAAACATGGACATCAATATGTGTAACAGAATCCATATGTTTTCAAGAGGTAGCATGTAGAAAGTATAGCCACATAGTTTACTATGATAGTTGAGATCAGGGAAATTAACATTCCTCATGTTGGAAAGACAGAACTCTTGCATCAACATAGTCTCAGGTGCCAGGACATTAACATCAGATCCATGGGCAAGAAAGAACACTGGCATCAATATGGCTTGCAGAAATAGTAGGAATAGCATGGTATGTCAGCTCATGGACATCTACATGTTTAACAGATGCAACAGGGATGAATGAATTCAATTTGTTGGGAGGTGACTGCATGTATCCCGGATATCAACTTAGTTTCATTGGTATTTTAGTTCTTGGAAATTTACATTCTTCATGTTGGCAACACAGAACACTTACATTAATATGGTCATAAGGTGCCATAATAGTCATGACAATCAAGATGTTATCCTGCTGTAACAAGGACCACATGCATCAACATGGCTTACAGAACAAATAAGAATGCATCCCAGGTACTTTCATAAACATCAACAAGTTTAACAGAGGCAGCAACGGTCAATGACATCAACATGGGTGCATGTCGCAGAATGAATTACAGACTTTAGCTAAGTTAAGAAAGGTTCATTAAGTCTTAGGAATTACCATTCTACATATATCCAAAAAGGAACACTTACCTTATCATGGTTACTTCTAGCAGGAGACTCCATGGAAATAAGCCTCGTTTACAGTGGTAAGAAGATCCTGAGCATCAGCATTGCTTCCCGAAGGAGTAGGAATAGCATTGCCCTTCCAACCATGGATATGCATATGATTAAGAAACTCAGCTAGGATTAAGGACCACAACTTGTTTGGAGGTATCATCATCCATTCAGGACATTAAGTTAGTTTCTGTTAGTATTTCAATTCTTAGAAATTACATTCTTCATATTTGCAACACAGAACATGAACATTAGTAAGGTTATAAGGAGATGGAGAATTCATAGCAATCAAGGTGTTGTCCCATGTTAATAAGGATCACATGCATCAACATAGCTTACCAAACCAATAGGAATGTATGGGAGCTCCATTCATTAATATCAACAGGGTTAGTTAAGGCAGCAGTGATCAAAGACATCAGCATTGCTAGAGGTGGCAGTATTAAATATGTGGATCAACTTAGTTAGCAAAAGTTAGTTAAATCTTGGAAATTACTATTCTATACATTGATAACAAGAAACACTTACCTTAAGATGGTGACTTGTAGCAGGAGAGATCACAGAATTCAACATGGTTTCCAGTGGTCAGAAGATCATGAGCATCAACATTGCTTCCAGAAGTAGTAGGAATGGCATTGTGCTTCCAATCATGGACATGCATGTGGTTCACACAGGGAGAAGATATCAATGACATCCACATGGTTTCAGGTAGCAGCATGTAGAATGGATAGCCACATAATTTACTATGGTAGTTGAGACTAGTGAAATTAACATTCTTCATGTTGGAAAGACAGAACACTTGCATCCACATGGTCTCAGGTAGTAGGACAGATGTACATCAATATCAGATCCATGGGCAAGAAAGATCACTGGCATCAACATGACTTTCAGAAATAGTAGTAATAGCAATGTATGTTTGCTCATGAACATTGACATGTTTAACAGATGCAGCAGGGATGAAAAAAAAATGAATTCGCTTGGAGGTTACAGCAAATATTCCGGATATCAACTTATTTTAGTTGGTATTTTAGTTCTTGGACAGGTACATTCTTCATGTAGGCAACACAGAACACTTTCATCAATATGGTCATAAGTGGCCAGAGTGGTCATGGAAATCAAGATATTATCCCATGGTAACAAGGACTACAGGCTTTGACATGGTTTACAGAACCAATTGGAATGCATTGGAGGTGCATTCATAGACATCAACAGGTTTAACTCTGGCAAAAACTATCAATGCCATCATCATTATGTTAGAAGGTGGCAGCATGAATTATGGATATCTGCTGAGTTACCAATGCTTGTTATGTCTTGGAAATTACCTTTCTTCACATTGCAAAAAAGGAGCACTTGCCTTAATATGGTCATAAATGACTTTAGATTTTATGGCAATCAAGATGTTATCCCATGGAAAAAAGCACGACTTGTATGATCATGGCTTACAGAACCAACAGGAATGCATGTGAGCTCCATTCATTAATATCAACAGGGTGTGTTAAGGGTGCAGTGATCAATGACACCAGCATGGGCACAGAGGTGGCAGCATGAATTATGTGTATTAACTTAGTTACCAAATGTATGTTAAGTCTTGGAAATTACCATTCCCATACATTAGCAACAATGAACACTTACATTAACATGATCACCTATAGTAGAAGTGATCATGGAAATTTACATGATGTCCAGTGGTTTACAAGATCATGACCATCAACACTGCTACCATAAGTAGTAGGAATAGCATTATGTTTCTAATGATGGACATCCATAAGGGTAACAGAAGCAGCAGGGATCATTTAAATCCACAAGGATTCAGGAAGTAGCATGCAGAATAGATAGCCACATAGTTTATTACGATGGTTGAGGTCAGGGAAATTAACATTCCTCATTTTGGAAAGACAGAACTCTTGCATCAACATGGTCTCAGGTGGCAGGACAGATAGACATCAACATCAGATCAATGGGCAAGAAATAACACTGGCATCAACATGGCTTCCAGAAAAAGTAGAAATAGCATAGTATGTTGGCTCATGGACATCTGCATGTTTAACAGATGCAAGAGCGATGAATTAATTTAATTTGTTTGGAGGTGTCAGCAAGTACTCCGATATCAACTTAGTTTCAGCTGGTAGTTTAGTTCTTGGAAACTTGCATTGTTCATATTGGCAACACAGAACACTTACATTAATATGGTTATAAGGGCCAAGAATAGTCATGACAATCAAGACGTTATCTCATGGTAACAAGGACCACATGCACCAACATGGCTTAGAGAACAAATAAGAATGCATCGCAGGTACTTCCATAGACATCATTTTAACAGAGGCAGCAAGGGTCAATGACATCAGCATGGGTTCAGGTGGCAGAATGAATTACAGACTTTAGCTAAGTTAACAAAGGTTCATTAAGTCTCTGGAATTACATATATATATATATATATATATATACACACACACACACACACACACACACACACACATATATATATATATATATATATATATATATATACAAAAAAGAACACTTACCTTGACATGGTCACTTCTAGATATCGTCGAAGTCACCATGGTGTACAGTGGTAAGATCGTGAGAAGCAACCTTGCTTCCCGAAGGGGTAGGAATAGCATTGCCCTTCCAACCATGGATATGCATATGTTTAAAAGACTCAACTAGCATAAATGACCCCAACTTGTTTGGAGGTATCAGCATCCATTCAGGACATTAACTTAGTTTCTATTAGCATTTCAATTCTTAGAAATTACATTCTTCATGTTCGCAATACAGAACATGAACATTAGTAAGGTATAAGGAGATGGAGAATTCACAGCAATCAAAGTGTTGTCCCATGTTAACAAGGATCACATGCACCAACATGGCTTACAGAACCAATAGGAATGCATGGGAGCTCCATTCATTAATA